ATATATATATATATATATATATATATAATATGTACGACCATCTGACTCATACAGATACAATGCGTTAATCTGCTTACCAGTAACGAGCCAGTGACAGCCACATAAAAAACCTACACATGAATTTCGCGTTACCTAACATGATCAACCAGAGGAGATTATATACCACGAAGGTGTACTGCAGTATGAAACCGAAGACAATGATACAGATAGAGAGCTTGATAAATATAGAGTTGTCATGCGTTCCATCATCCTAGTTCAAAGTTAGGTCTTCTCAATCCCTCGTGAACTTCTCGTTTGTTCGGACAAGGTGCGTCTTCTAAGCTAGTTTGTTTGCCAGGTCTAGTCTGATCAAGGGGTAGACTATTTGACGTGACGGATTGCAGGCAATACCAATGGCATAACTTGTTCTATTTGACAGTTGACCGATGAACACAGACCAATAATTTGAGGAATTCGATTGTGCTGTCTCCTGCTGAGGAATAAATCCTTTTGAAGAGGAAATGGACCATTTCGGGAATAGGAAAGTAGTTCCTCTCCCGTCCCGAGTATTTAATGTCCTCAAGGAAGATTGGAACAGAAAATTTGTGCGCCTCAAAAATCCTACTAGAAACTCCCTCGTAAAGTGAACACTGCACTCCCATGATAGCCCAAATGCTTATGGGAGAAGGTATCTTCTCGAGAAAGACGTGGAAATAAAGAAAAATTTCATTTCATTAGAATATAAATATATATACTCCTTGCCGACTATATTGAAGTTAAACCAACCTCTTCTTTCACAGATGCGTTAGCCTTCTCAGCAGCAGTTCTGTGAAGAACAGCTTCACCAAGTTTTGTTCTCAGCTGATCAAGACACTGCTCTAATCCTTCTTCCTTTTCAGAGCGCTTCACAAGCTCTTCTCGAGCACTGACCAGCATATTTCTTGAAGTGTCTAACTCCACCCTGAGCGATTCACAAAGTGTTCTTTCTTGCGTCAGTTGTTCCTTCACCAAAAGGTAGAGAAAAATACGATGATGATGAAGTAATCAAGATACCTTATAAGTATTCATACGGGTAAAATGATCTCTGAAGGTACCTGATTACTTTATGTTGCAACAAAGTGATTATTAAGTACAGAGTAAGGTATACTTTGACATTCGAGCTTTCTTTAAGCTTAACAGGACCTACAAAGATGTAACTTCCCTAAGCCCCAAAATCATCTATTTTCGTAGTGAACATACTGCGTATTTTGGATGTGCCCCACCTGAATAATCAACGCCGTACAAAGAACTCATCCGAGTTCGAGTGCAATCAGAACATTGCGGCTTTGCTGACAGTATACGTGGGACGAGCGATCATCCTCTTCCGTGGGAGGTGTATTTTCATTATGCTTACCCGCTCCACGTGACCCGCATCCGTTACCGCGACACCTCTCGATTTTGTCACCTGTCATTCAGCAAAACCAGATGCGTCGTACCGGTGCAGCGATGTAGGGATGGCCTGAATTTCGTCTGAAATGCATGAGCGGCACAGAGCAGGCCCTATGACGGGCTGCCGGGGCCGACTACCCACGCTCATTTCCTCACGAGATGTGGGCAACTGCGTTGTCTACCCCGTTCGATGACCTGGTGTATGTACAGTTGCCGTGTCTGAGAGTGAGGTTCGATGGCTGGTCGTAGTGCACTCGCCGCGCCATGACAAACGACAGTCAATTTACACCACTTTGACAAAACGAACGAAGTCAGAGCTGCAACTTTCGTGTGACTTCATACTTTTGTGCAACATTTTTGTCTTTACAAATTTGCGCCCAAAGAAGACCGTTGAATTAAGGGAGTTGATGGGCAGCGGGTTGAAGCAGCAGTTGTGTCCCATTTTCAGAAAATGTGCCCTGTCAATGACACATTGGCTTCGAATTTTGTATCGATTAGATAGTAATTATGCCGGTATTTTTACGGTTTCAGCAGCCTTTTGGCTGAATTAGTATGTCGTGTGAAAACCATCGAGTTTTGGACATAGATAGATGCCATTGCTTAACAGTGCAGGTTACTTGCATGAATAATAACATAATCGTTCATCTGTAACACCTTTTCGGTGCCTAGCTGCCGGTCTAGACAGCCTGGGTGTTTGATGCGGGCAGCTAATTTTATACGAATAGACTGTTTGGAGGTGAATACACGCAGAATGTGGGTGCCTGTCACACAGGTCAGTCATTAGTGCAGGCTGACAAGCGGGCACGCTTTGAGTTATTGACCCATCCGTCACACAATTATGGTACCACAAAGACTGAAACCCAACATCTAAAACTTTGTGTAGTATCGATAAGAACGAGATGGACCACACTCTATATTCTGTACAATCTAAAGTTGAGCCGTCAGGCTACTTCGCACGGTAAAAATTCACTGTTCCTACGATGTCGAGAAGAATATACGGCGTCGGTTCATCCAGTGCTTTTTATACTCATGTGCACAAGGAAAGTGTGTTGCACATGATGGTTTCATTGCCTAACCGAAAAACGTCTTGATCTCCAGCACTTAGCTAGATTCCTCGGGCAACCTCGATTAATTCACAGCACCCAGTGGCAGCTTTGTCTTAAGATATTATCTTCATTTAAACTGTCGGAATTCGGTTGATCAAGTAGTGTAGATTGTGGAATTTAGCAGTGATGAGTAAAAAATAAACCGAGCGAGAAGACTAAGTAAATGGCATAAATCAATCTCGGACGACAGCTGTTCATCCGACGCTTCCTGTGCTCAATGAATGTGATCAAAGATTGTAGCTTTTCGGTGTCCGTTAAACAACTGGACCTCATCTGCCGCGAATAGGAACCTTCATTCTTGCACTACGTGCTACAGTTTACTTGACATGTCGTGCAAACCGTCGTGCTGGATTGCCACTAGGACGAGATGTCAAACATGCACTTGGCACAATCTCTGCACCTATTGAGGTTTTTCTGATCGTTGCATCCTCATTTCTTTAAAATTCAAGTACATCGTGCATTGACTAGTGTACCCACTGTATGGACGACTACCACTGTATACTACTCACGTTCTCTCAGGTTACGAAGTCCTTATGAAAGGTCATTACTCACGCTTGACTGTGTTGAGACAACGCTCCCTTATCTCACTACCACAATACGTAGGGCTTTTGGAGTAGTATACAATCATTCCGTCAAACTCTTCTCATAGCATTTCATACAGTTGCTGTTTTGCTGGAATATCGGTGGCTTAAATGCGTTCACTAGTTACTGTTTTTTCATCTAGTTTGGTAGTTGATTTGTAAACGTTTCGTGCCAATCGAGAAAACTAGTACAAATGCATTGCTGTGTAGGACGAACATACCAGGAATCAGCTTCATCATGTTCGTCGAGCATTTTGTGCAAGGATTAGTATTTCGAGCTTTTACGGTACAGGATTGGATACTAAATGTTTAGTTCGCTTAAATAACCGATTATTTCATGCTCAAATCACTCCCGTTTGAACACGAGCATGAATTATACCAATCTTTCAACCACTTACAACTGAGCAAAATTGTCAAGCACTTTTCAAGCGTCTGTAACGCTACCTGGATGGAAAGTTCTGACAGGCGGGCCAGTCGATCGACAGGACAGGTCGCCGTTCGAGCCATCGGGTGAACTAATCGCATCGCTCAAGCGTGAACAAGTTCGCCTGTTAAGACGTGAAAATTCAAATGTGTCCGGAGAACTTGCTGGAGAAGCGGTAAGACGGTCGCCTCGCGTAGCCGATGTCCGGATTTTTAATCTCAGAACGGCCAAAGATGAGTTCTACCAAGAGCGTAGCCCTAGTCAATGGGTGTCCCTCTCTTGTGAACTCACCAGAACAATTGCGCCGGGACAGGACAACTGTTCAAGCAAGGAGTGATGTGAGCGTGAACCATAAGAATCCCGCAACTAGCTAAAACCACTGATTTTCTATGGTTTGACTGAATATGACAGCATCACGGACAAAGGCAACGGAATGAGAGTGACTTTTTAATTCAGACTGTTGAGGTTCCCGATAAGGAACTTTGAGTGACGGTTGCGAACATCAAAAGGAATCTTTGCGTCCGAAAGTTTGCGGTACTATTTACACAAAGGTAAGCAAAACTTAATTATCAAATTTCATGACATCATCAAGTACACAAGTCTTTCTTCGACCGGCACAGTGCAGTGCCAAGGTCCGCAAATCAAAAAAACGGTGCGGGGACTGTTCGGTCTGCAGTTTAGGTTGCGGTTGCCCTTTCTAGGACAGTCTCGTGATTCCGATTGACGGTGCGACCATACAGAAAGCAAAACAGCACGAGTCACACGCTTGGGTAATTGGTTCGGCTGAGTACATTCACGCACATTCCTGCACCTATATATCTATACGCATGCTAGTATACCAGTGTCGGACGGGACGGCCTTGGTGGTAAGGTGAGTAACAAAACAAGTGGAGATCAAAAGTAGCGGCCATTAGTCGCACAATACCCATAGCTGAAAAACCCTTAGGAGGGGAATAGAACTTTTTGCGCCGAAATGTTGCATTTTGTTGCATATGTGCTCAGACCAAAAGCTACCCTAATCTACTTTCATCTTTACGTGGCTCACTAAATTCTATTGTCTGTTGAATCAATGATACATCTGGCGGAAAAAGTCTGGTGGAACACTTTCCTAGTATCGCCGAGAACCCTGGATGCCTAGATGGGGCTCAAAAGTTCGGACTCAGCTCCCTGCCTGCTTTAGTCCATCAGGCACACGTCGTAGCTTTCGAAAATTTAATTTCATTGTGCGAATACTGAGCTTCTCAAAAGTACATGGATGGAATAGGCAAATGAGAAGAGAAGTTATCATGCGATCAATACAGACATTTTTATACAACGCACAACGGTGTTACAGTTTTCAACATATTTCCCGATAGGAGCATGAGGAAGTTTGTGAAGACTGTTTAATATGGACCTCAAACATGACCTCAAAAAAAACGGGCGCCTTGCACAACCTACTTGTAGGCGGGATACATTCTTTTTCAAACAGGAAATTTCCTGATTGTGGTTTTCATTCGTCATTTGAAGATGCGATAGCCGATCCTCGTATGAGGAAATGGCAATTTTATGCTCCGACTTCAACACTGACAACGAATGGGCTTGTAGTTCGCAATCCTGGAAAAAAATCAAGAGAGGTTGAATCGCCTTTAGCTCCACTTTAACTACGCTCAGCTATAAGTGACCTGTTAAAGATCATGTAGATTTCATAATCTGAAACATTTATGCGCAGGTAACACCCAGTGGCCAACTTTATCTTAGGCACTTATGGTTTTCCACTAATTATAAATTTATCATTTCTGTCAGCTGCTCTTAGACAGGCCAATGTATATACTATGAGGATGGTTCTCTAGATTTCCAAAAGCTGCTGGTGCAGCATGCATGAATTCAGTGTGATTCAACTTGAAGCATCTTCTAGTTGTCATTATCGATCAATTAGTGATTGAAGTTGTTTCACGAATCGATTACACTAGTCTTGAACGTGAACGCCCATACATTCAAGACTGAATCGGTGCTGAAAGAATCTGGGAAATTTCACCTCTGTAAAAATCCTTTAAATGCGGCGAAGTTGTCTGCTGCCGCTAACAGGTTTAAAGGCCAAAAATTAACACTGTGTAACCTTTCCAATGCGCGTACCGAAAAATTTCGACGACGGAATACTTTACACTACTTGAGACGTACTACTTAACACTGCTTGTTACCACAAAACCGTAATAAACCAAATTCTTCCGGAAGCACTCGATGCAGAAGAACCATACTACCGGTTAAACAGGGAAGCTCTGATAAAGAGGTGTGTAATGTACGACATTGTAGTAAATCCTTAGAGTGAACTGATCCAGTTGTTTTATATTCTGTATACTTCATCAAACCGGCGGCTACGGCTAATAAACGCGTGCTCGACGCGTGCGGGAAAATCAGTGCTTCCAGTTTTCAGTTGATTTCCCAACGCACATATGGAAGGGGTGCCTACTGTAGCTTAGAAAATCTTAGTTCTACAGGTTTATACCGTTTGCTAGAGAACCTTCTTCCTTCTTACGTACAACGAGACCTCAAGCGACGTGGATGAATTTCAAGGGTGAATAAAACGACACCTTAGGATCAGCGACGACTCTGGAAAGCTTCGAAAACGGAAGCATTTTGATGAGGATGAACGAGAGACCTTCGAGTGTTTGATTCTTAGTAAAACTTCTCTCGTAATTATTCAGTATATATCTTAATTGTCATTTTTAATATGCAGCATATAGTCAAAAATTTCATTAGATGCTCGGAAGTGGCTAAATTGATTATTCGGATGACCACTATCTACAGAACGAAAATCTCATGCTAGCAAAAAGGAGAATGCTTACCCTTTTACTCACCCCGATATTATCATAGAGGAAGGGTTATTAGAATGGAATGACCATGTTTTAAGGAGTAAACATTGGGCTGCGACTGGGAGAATTCCTTTTTGGTGGCTTTTCTCGGAATAAACTGTCTTAGAGACATGCTAGACAAAACTTGTCAGTAGTTAACTGGCTAGGCAGCTCGGATTCTTCTCCCACCTGAAATGAGCTGTATACTGTTAGTAATTACCCAGTAAATGAGGTCCTTCTCTGTCGCCAAAATGCCTGTATTAAGTGAGTCTCTGTCAAAACGTCTTCACCAAACTCAAGATTTTCCGCATGTCTAATTCGTCTTTCTAACTAAGAGAATATCGTCTTTGGTTGAATTTTGTACTAACGTTGACCTGCCGTGAAAACGGTAACCCCTTTTAACTCAACAGAAGGATCAGTAACTCACAGCTGGTGGTAAGCGCGTCTTGTACAAAAGGGCAATTAATTTAGGGATAACTTCCCAACGTAACTGACAGATCATTCCACTTCTTAGCTCAGTGTGCTGTGCCGGGTAAAATGAGATCGGCAAAAACCTTGATGTCGGGTTGAAAAGATTCTTCTGCCTCGGGTTATGCACTTACCTTGTTACAGTTCTCAACTTGCTTCTTTAGTTCACTGATTTTCTCCTCTTTTTCCCTTATTTGCGAACCACTAGCTTCAGCTTGATCCCGCCAGAACTTAATGGCTTTCTAGGGTCAAAAGAAGCATTGAATGAAACATTATGATAAGTTTTCCCCAACTTACATGGTGTCAGCTGCTATTTTATTCTTACATAGTCTGAATTTCAGACCGCAAAGCATACCAGTCAACTGTTGTGGTACGGAGTTTTTACTCAGGTGCGAAAAGATGATAACTTCATTCATATTGGAGCGAACCAGATGTTTTGGGAATCGATCATCCTTGGTAAGTGCCGAACGGAGAAGGCAGACAATTTTTACACCAGTACAATCCAGAGGAACGACAGTCCCTGTAATTACTCAGTCTTTGGCACAGCTGACTGGCAAGAGATGAACCTTTAGTACTGTCAACGATGCAATGATGAAAAACTCAAAATTTGAGACTGTTGTGTGATACATAACTCATCTGCAAACCACACTGTCCAACTTTACCACCAGCTTCTACGTCTACCTCTTCGTATGATCGTGTTGAGCGCCATCTGTAGTGCGCATACCAAAGGGTTTCACGACAGGATGTATGAACATAACTGAATGGCGACTGGTCAATCGCATTAGACTTGGCCGGAACCACTCAATATTGCTAGATCGAACACCGCTGAACAGTACGATTCACATTGCTTATGGATATCGCAGGCCACCGGAATTTGACTGTCTAACCTAATGTAACTTGCACACATGAAACTTGTGCAACCTACAAGCTATTCTATCCCTACAACTTATTTTGACCGTGACCTAATCCCCCTGACTGTTTGACCCATTGACCTAGGTATACTATCTCCTTTTTCGCACGTGTACTGATGAATATACCTAACCTAATACTGCTTTAATGAACCGAATCCAAAGCATGTCAGCGATACCTGTCAAAATCTTGGACATTTCGTCGCAATACTGAGAGAATCTGTTTAACTCCACACCTCTGTCTGATAGAACTAATCAAGTGCACATTCGTACCGATAAAAATGTTTCTGCGGAAGACTAACTACCTGGTAGTCGGTGATTTTCTGTCGCGCATGAGACAGTTCCGCTGCCATTTCTAGCACCTCTTGTGATTTGGAGTCAACTGACTTCTGCAGCTGTTGAATTTCCGACTTCGCTGCAGTTAGTGCAATCTGCTTAGACTCTTCCAAGACGGTCTTTTCCTGCTCGTGGACGTGGTTGTGAGCGGCACTACGTTCAAGCATTTCCTGTAACCCTGCCTCCAGTTGGCCATTGGTAGATCGACTTCGAGCTAGTTCTGCCTCCAGTTGCTTTGCATAACCAATTTGCTCGTCCAGACGCTCACGAAAAGTGGAAATTTCTTTCAGAAGTCGAGAATCCTGAAACAAAGTTTCATATAGGGGAAAGTGTTGGTGGCACAGGTAGCGTAGCTGGTCGCTGACTTGTTCGCTGAGCTGGGCAATTTGATTGCAAACGTTTTATCACCAATCGAGGTGACATCATCAGTGTGTTATTGTAGAGCGTAGTGGCGCATCAAACCGCTCCCCAATAGCGCACTGGTGATGCCACCTCAATTGGCGAGGAAACGTTCCCAATCAACTTGCCCAGCTCAGCGAACAAGACAACGACATTGTTTTATGGTCACCAGTGGATCTGGTTGAGACATGAGATGAGGTGAATTGTGAAAAACCTCAAAGCGGAATGTGGCTAATGATATGGCGCCGACTGGAAGATGTTTAGTATATGAAACTCTTGTTCAACATCTGTTACCATCGGCTGCGACGTCCAAGACGTGCTGCACATACTGAAGCATTGTCAACTGAAACCAGTGTCATTTTCAATATCTCCTTAAGAATGGTACAAGTAGCTAGGTTGACAAAGGGTGACTTGGCAGAAGGGTGTAAATGAAATCATACAGATTTTCGGCGTCATTGTTGAGGGTCGCCTTCCAGAATGGGGTCGACTTGACTCCCCATACGCTTCGCTGGAGACATTGCAAGAAGTGGCGGTTAATGGATATCAGTAGCAATCATGCTGCCAGATTGTCTCCCTTTTGCCCAAGTGTACGTTGAAGGTGTATGCAACTAAGAACGTTTGTGGTTGGTTAGCATCAGGTTCCCCCCTCACCCATTCTTTTATTCTGTTGTATTTCAAGGCTTTAAATACAATTGTATAAGCCTTGTGGTTGTACAGCAGTGATGCATTACTGCCAACACTGCTGCTGCTTTTTCTGATAATGGTGATGATGATGATGATGATGGTTGTGTGGTATTTAATTTGACCTAATAAATTACGTCTAACGGTGTTTGTGTATAATAAGAACGAACTGGAGAATGCTGCTCTCATTAGTCAATAACATGATGTTTCAGACGCCATAAAGTCCTGTGGATGGACTATAAGTCACACATAGCTGCCTGTCTTTCATCAGGCTGAATACACAAAGAGTTTCGAAATTAATGGGTGTCTGACAAATCAGGCGTCTCGTTGCTTGAAAGCGTGTGTATCAACTGCCCATCCAGAGTAAGTCCGAACCCCGAGGCAGCGACCTGTCACATACGTCAGTTTTTGTGTTGCTTCCAATCATCATCTGGATATTCATACCGCTTCTGATAATGCAGTTCATAGCAAACACAGAAAGTGTTTTTGAAGGACCAAGAGCAGTATAAGTAAGTTTGCACGAATGTACTAACTAGACCTTCGGAAGACAGCTAAAAGAAGAAAGGAAGGGGTTCCAACTTCAAAAGTGTGATCGATTATTGAAAAGTGGAACGATTCTATCGTTCAGCACGTGAACATTTTCTCCTTCAGGCCATCTAATGAAACGTTTTAAACAATTTATTAGAAACTTGAAAATAATCGAGGAATAAAGCAGTTACCTGGGTCTGCGGGGGATTTACTTGAAACCCTGGAACTTCTCGTTTCCGAGCAACTGAATGAACCACATTAAGCTAGTTAGTGCTCATGTTTCAGTTGGTGCGATATTCGAGTTATCGCGATGCATGTATAGACGTCATGTACTACTCTTAAAGTTGCTGAAAATTATTCGACGGCCCATAGCCAGTTTCGCCCTTCCTTTGGCTCATCAGGTAGGCGCAGTATCTGAGTTTCTGTCAACCTTATGTTCCACTTGAACCTAAATTGCACCAAATTGGCGAAGTAGTGTACTGCGTCTAAAACAATACTTTCTTTAATCATTAACGAGCCTCTCATATCCTTTCTTTCCCAAAAGACATTTTCCTGAGAGGGGAGAAAGATTTTAATCAGTTTCTTGGGTATTCTATCCCCACAGCCAAAATTCTGAGCCAATAAGCTACAGTTGAACTGATGACTGACTATCATCTGTCGTTCACACTACTTTCTGACTGCCTTTCTGACCCACTGTTAGCTGAAGACCCGGTATTAAAAAAATCGATAACCACCAAAAATCAATACAGTCATCATGCAGAAGCGCTATATTCAGCTCACTCACTAAAAATAGTCATTTATTGACATTATACCTATATCTCTATATTCTCCGCAAGCATCACTACCGGAGTGATACGGAACGCACTAGAAGAGCCCATGTATTGCAGCTCTGCGTCTTGCAGGTGCATTTAGAAGCGTGCCATTGATTTAACGTGCAGCGCCCCAGATGACATATCGAAAAATCCGTTTTAATGGAAGCATAACAGAGCTACCAAAAATTAAACCTAACAAAAGAGATGATTGTTGCGAAGGAGACATGGGCCCGCATAACCTTGAATAAAAGCTCCAGTATTTATAACGTGGATCAAACTACACACTATTAAGACGTCCCGCAATTCAGTAATATCAACAAGGTTATCGTAAAGTAAACTAGGCCTGTTTTCTTCCAACAGGTGCAAAAGTGCGCCTATGTAAAAACACTTGAGAAGCTATTGATGTAGCTCAGTTTTAATGCAACCACATGGTTTTCAAGGTAAAACTCTTCCGCACTTATAAATCGTACAATGTTGTTACGACTTTTGACCTCCAAACTTCAGAAACTGTTTCAGGGAAGTGGTGACATATACACCCAGAACAATCTCGTTGGAACAAGACACGTGTCCTGTAAAATAAAGCTTGTTGCTACAAAACCTCCTCTTGTCATGGCACATCCGCTGAGAAAATTCCACTGAAATGGGTTTAAAAGCACATGTTTGGAATAGCTAAGCGCTTTCATTATCCTGCTGAAAGAGGACGTTCCTGTCNCACATGTTTGGAATAGCTAAGCGCGTTCATTATCCTGCTTAAAGAGGACGTTCCTGTCAAAGTGTTTGAAAATAGGTCATGGTAAATGTATTCATCAAGTCTGCTTACAACTTGACATTAAATCCACTTAAAGGAGACAAACAAAATTTTCAACAGTACCCGAACTTGGCAAAATGTTCACCAACCAAATGACAGTAACACTAGATAGTACTAAGGTTCAGTCGAGCGTATGCTTCAACCATGGACCACTCCACTGTTTACTCTTTGCCCGCCCTTTTTACATTCCTATTAGTTGTAGACGTCATTGGGATTTCTGAACTACAAAGCTGACGGGAAGATTCTTGGCAAAAGCCGGAATACGTAAGAAAAAGCGGAATTTTTCGGTAAAAATCCCCATAGATTCTTATCAATACGTCTATCTGGAAACGTTCTAGCTTCAAAGAGCACTCACCCGTTCCTTCATCTGTTCATGGTCCTGTTTGATATTTTCCTGTTCCGCTTGAAGACTTTCGACTGTAGCAGTTTTCTCCTCCAGCTGTAAGCATTATTAATAAGAAAACGAGGGCTTAATCAAGTATTAAAATAACACAAACTGCGCATGACATATGAAAAAAATAAATGATGAGCCTCAGAAAAGAGCACTTCGAGCGGTTTCCTTTCAAAGTGTATTTCTACACCTTCTTTCTTGAAACAGCTTACTGTCAAGATGGCGGTCAGAAGTCGGTTATTCACCTAAGCGGGGACTCGATTCGGGTCGTCATATTGGCGGTCGTTATTCGTTTATGAAGCTACTGTTCAAGCGTGATTGTTCTTTTTAGGTGATCTCTTACATGAGACGTAGAAAATCACGGATCAAATACCATCAGCTTATTGTCTCAACTAAAGAGCATGTAGACCACTGAGGCTCACTGAGTAACACTATCATTGGGCTGAATCAAAAAGTTAATCCTGATATTCTTACTAGCAGGAATGTACAACCCACTAAAATTAATCACAACTTTATTCATCCATTCTGTCGTATGCATGATGCACTTCCAGTTAGATATCAGACTTCAGACACCCAGTGTCTCGCACAACGTTTACGACAGTCTGCATCAGAACATCTGGTCAGCAACTGGCTTGTTTACAGCCTTCTCTACCGGGCTATATACCCGCCGGTCATCTCGTTTGTTACTCCTATCACGTCCTGGCCTACGTGTATGGACATCCAGCTGCTTTCTTCTCTCTGTCCTGGGTCTCTCTTGTGATCTCTCCACTGGAAGTTGGAATACAAACTTGTATTCCTAGTTTGCTCTTTTCTGGCAAGAATGTGTCTAATCCTGAGCAACTGATCCTAAACCTGAATATAAAACACCAAAAGTGCTTAATTCTCTACCGGCAAGCACACTCCGTCAGTGAACACACCTGTGAAGGAGGCTGTACACTTTAGAGCATTCACTGTTTGCCAGAAATGCACACAGACTATCCTCCAAAGGTAGGCAAATAATAGTCACTTGGCACGTCTCGTTAAGTTTCCTTCATCTGGCGACTTTCTCTGCAAGCTTACTTTGAACATATCGCGTCCGAAAACTCTAAAGTTGAGGGTCTTGTAGCACATCAAAGCATAAGCATTATTATCTGCTATGGATCGTTCCACTGCAGGTTGCTTTGCTCTTTCTAGTCGTGCTCATTTTATTGCACACTATCATATCCCACCCAGATAGTGCACCGACGTAGCATGCAGCAAAACTTAGTTCAGAATGCACTGGAGGGGTCTAGGATATCATTATCATGTCATCAGGATGCTAAATGCGATAACTGCCGTCTAAATGGAAATAACAAACGAACTGGCAAGACAGCTAGGCAGATACTGATAGCATATTTTACGCACCTCTTAATCCCAGCAAAGCGGGAATTCGTACCGGTAATCATTAATTAAATCCTACTTGGCCAGTTCCTCTTTATCTGCTAATCTGGAAGCGATATTACAAAAATGGCGCTGTTGGCGGTGAGGACCAAAGAGGGAATAGGTTCTTTAATCCTAATTAGTAGTAACTTATCAGAGCCATGAACAGGCAAAAAGGATAACTTTAAGACGATTGACTTAAACTCACCTCTCCCTTCAGTTTGTCTATTGCCTTCTCATGTGTTTTTCGCACGCTTTGAAGCTCCGTTTCCAAATCGGTGTGCACCGACTGCAATCTCTGATGCTAAAGAGACCGTGACATTAATTAGTTGGGATCAGTACAGAGGTGACACGATGCAAGAAATTCGACAAAGTTCGTACCTTTAAGAAACCGTTACTTCTATCATGCATTACTGGTGTGCTACGCTAGGTGTTTGCGAAAAAATCTGTGGCCTCACGGACCTAACCATAATGTAGTCAGTTTATGTGAGAATACCCGGGAACATTCATCTATTGGCTGCTCGCTGAACGGCGAGTAGACCGTAACCACTTTAGACAGTGTCGAAGTGCGAGTTAGTGATATGCTGATTAGCCCAGTTTTGGCCAAACTGTTTGGTTCTTAATTACTATCCCGGAGTTTGCGAGTTCTAATCTGTCTGAAATTTCGTGAGATGTACATTACTAACACCTCAATATGGATAAACCGGCTGCTTTTCAAATTTTCGGCATAGATTAAAGGATGAGAAGAAAAAGGCTGCCTGGTGGTTAAGCCAGGTTTGAAAGCGCAAGAAGTGCGGATCGTCGTTGGACAACTCACAGTGCATGAAGTATAAATAAGAACACAGGAAGCTCTTATGACCTTGATATTGAAACCAAAACATTAAAGGACGCACAAAAAGATAAGCTAGAGTTTAGTCGTCCAGTCTGCGCTGGTTGTTTGACGCTACTTTTTGCTATTCTGAAAAAAAGCAGGCAGCTTATTTGTTTACCAGGATGCTGCGTTTTTACATTTAATCAATAGGCTGGTCTCCTCGCAGTCAGGGAACATCTGGAAGCTATAATGATATTGCGTTTTTCATACACTAAGTGGCGTTAGGTCCGATATTCTCAGGGAATGAGCAACACTGAAAGCCGAAATCATGCGAATTTTCCTTTAAAAACTACCAGAAAGGGGTTTTAGTCGAAGTGAAGTGGCAAGTATTCCGAACTGTATCATTCTGAGGTTTAAAGTGTCTGAAAAATTGAAGACTCCTGCTGGCCTACCGTGTAATATATCATAGTAAGCCGCAACTCTATTTTTAAAAATCCTTATCACTGAATTCTCTCACAGTATTTCAGCCGAAAGGGTTGCACAAACCAACAAAGTCTTACAAAGGACAGAGGCAAGACTGGGCTTAAACAGAATGGTTTTCTCTGCTAATCTACTTCATAACCGAGATTGACTAATCACCCGAAGGCAAGTTTGGCGATTTAAAAGGTATTCCGAATGTTGTGACGTACTCATGAACAGAAAGTATTGAATCCTGACTAGTGTCGCAAGCTACAATTGCAAGAGAAATTTCGCCACGGAATCGCAGCCAGTGAATTGAGCAAGAGGGTGGTTCCGACCAAGAAGACATGCAAGAAATAACTTTTTCAGTCGTAGCGCTACTTCTGGTCCAATTCTAGTCATTCTAGTAGAAGGACCGAATAAAACGCAATCTTGTCTCCTCGCCACGCAACTACCTCCTATTCAACAACCCAAGTTTTGTTCATCGTCTGGATGGCCAACAACAGCTCACTGGCCTAACTTGCTAACTTAATTAGATGTCCAATCACGTGAAAAATACTTGAAACCGATTGGGTAGTCATCGTTTTCGAAAAAGTTTGGTGACAATCGGTAGATTTATTGCTGGGCAACGTTTCGCTTTTGACACAAAAACTTCGTCAGGCCAAGTGACTAGGTTCCGAGGTTGATCGAGATTTAAGGCGGAAGGAGAACCAATCAGCCAAGTTAAACTAAATCTCTGTTGGGTGTCGGCCGAGGGATTTTAGTGTGTTAGAGTGGTTGAACAAGTGTTGGGTCCGCCATAAATCTCGATCAACCTCGGAACCTAGTCACTTGGCCTGACGAAGCTTTTGTGTCAAAAGCGAAACGTAGCCCAGCAATAAATCTACCGATTGTCACCAGACTTTTTCGAAAACGTTAATTAGATATCCTTCACTATGGGCTAAATACTGAATGAATTGATACTGACGTTGTGTCAATCTTGATCATTATGATCATGGATGTGTGTGATGGTACACTTTCCTCTGTTGGCCGCCCTTCAATTTTGAATTGCCATTGATGCTTAGTCCGCAACTTGCAGGGGTCCTTGCATGTGATGAGTAATACGAGTGAGGGGTACCCTGTTATACCTTCTAATGTAAAGCACCGTTTGGTAGCAGTACCAGGATGAGCAAGACTTTCCTCCATACATTCCAGTGATAGGAATGGATATGCAGTTCTTCGGGACAAGCTTGGTGCACGCACTGTGAATAACAAAGTTATGAAATCTTTAGGGAGGAATTCCCGGACAACAAAGGTTGTGCTGGATGATCACACCCAATCAAGGTTGCTATGTTGTGGTTTCATCACACACAAAAAAAACTAATTTTAAGCCATGCTACCGACGGACCATCTTTTTTCTGAAACCCAATATACAAGGCTTCATAAAGGGTACGTTGGCGAAGAGAGGCTTCCTCAAAACATGACCATATGTAACATACCTCAGTAAGAAGTTCGTCGTAACAGTTTTTCAGTTTCCATGTCTCTGTCATCAGGCATGAGAGTAAGTCTTCACGTTCAGCTACCTGAGAAACCGTTGGGCAAATACTGGTTGTCTCAAGATGGCAGGAATAATGATGAATAATAACAGGCGAGCACAACAGATTTGGCCATCTAAATATTCAAACTAACAAGGTTCACTTCATAATATAACCACGGTTTTCACCTGCTTCGCAACTAGCAAAATTGCATATATTACATTCATATCCAAAGCGTCTTCTGACTTCATGCTGACAGAGTTTTACGCAGGGGAGTAAAACTCTACTTTTGTCCTTTTGGCATTGATGTCAACAATAAGAATGAATATAAGGTGGTGTAACCAAGTATCCAATCAGTCTTTTCGGGACTCAAAAATAGTCGTTTTTTCTTGCTTAAACCCAATCTGCGCACACTAACTGCAAGTTAAATGGCCCCACTTTTGTGCACACATCTACAAAGCGTTTTGCGCTGTGTAAACCATTTTAGTTGATTACACGTCTTGGTTATTGGTCATGACTCCGGACCGAATTTTTCGCCTTAGCTGTTCCGTCAGTAGTATTTATCGTACCGTGGTAATTGTCCACTCACAGGATTTTGTGTCCGGTTGCAGGAGAACAGACTTTCCTGGGAAACACGATTCATTTTGCCTATCGGTGCTCAACGGAGCTACAACAACGACGACACGGGCAACATGAGAATTAATTTCTCAGCCACCTAATCGTATGCAGCACACACTTATGCATTAGTTTGTTGTGGATACATACCTCAGATAGACCTAAATGGTTCTGCGTATGACGATTTCCTCCAGCTGAAGGTGAGTGGTGCAAGTTCAACTTGGGATTCGGTTGGCTCAGTATGGAACCATTGTTCCTCGGGAGTAGTGCGGAAGTATGACATATTCTTCGCAGATTGCAAAACATCATAAATGCAAGGTCTAAATTTCTTGTTTGTGACAAATCGGAGTCAAGGTGTTGTCCAGCGATTATGACACTTGAAATGACGGAGTTTGGCAGTCAAGTTCATAGCAATCTTTGGGGGGTCCAGTTTGGGTCTTGTAAGCGCTAGCATGTCCTGGATGACTACAGCCTGGTTTTAGCGAGAAGTAGAACGCCTTGCGCATCTCAGAACATATGCCCTAGCTGAACTATGGAGAAAAAAACTTATAACTGATTCTCCAGAGTTTCATTTGTACAGGAATCTACAATCAGTTGGGTTAGGCAGCACGACCAGTCTAACTGACCAACAAAATCAACAAGTGCATGGTTCTGCTTTAGAACATGAAACTCCGTATCACTACACCATCAAGGCCTTGAATCAGAATTATTTAAATTCACCCTAGTAAATGGCAGATTCCTTTAATACGTTACAATTTTTACTCTTTGTAAACGCACCTTCTCGGTCAGAGCGCGAATGTGTTCATTCAGTTTGTCACATGCTTTATAACTTGCCTCCAGCGTCATTTCTTGAACTTGAATCTTTTGTTCCAGCAGCGCTATTTGGTAGTTGGTATCAAATGAATCTGACTGGAATCCTCTAGTAGGTTGACGGTCCTGTAGCGAAAAGTCGGGTATAAGCGTTCAGGACGAAAGAAATTCGTGATAAACCCGGTTTGTTTGATGAGCAGGGCATCTTTCCATTCAGTATCCTCATAAGACGATTTGTTCTATTAGATTGCTTAGTACAACATCTTTTTTCTCTATTTGTGGTAGGGTCATCGTTGAGCATCAGGTTATCTGGTTTTATTCTCTGTTTCCTTAGTCATTTAGTTTATCATGGTGACATGAACAAATCTTGGTACACTTTCACAGATAAATGTGATTTAGCGTCTAGTCTAAGATTGTTAACCTTAAGCCTCATGTTATAAAGCCAAATCTGACAAGAATAGCTTCTGCTATATCGAAGAACCAAAAGAATAGTTAGATAGTAATCAGCTTCTGATTGGTCACTACCGCAACTTTATATAGATGGGCAATTAATTTTACAATTATCGAATTTCGAAAGCTAACCAATCTCAACTTACAATTGAGTTGACGAAAGACCTAGATGGATGCTTCCCTCCAAGTAGTGACAGTTAAGCCAACTATGTACTCAAGTTACCAATCACGTTGTCTAATTTTTAAAGTTAAATAATGAACGTGACTGATACACTAAGGTATACTGTGATTCACTAAACAGTGCAGACCTAAAACACTTTCTAGAGTCTCCATTCCCAAAGTTACCGCTCCCATTTTAGAACTACTTGCTTGCTTGCTTACTTGCTTACTTACTTACTTACTTACTTACTCACTTACACTTACTTACTTACTTCCTTACTTACTTACTTACTTACTTACTTACTTACTTACTTACTTACTTACTTACTTACTTACTTACTTACTTACTTACTTACTACTTACTTACTTACTTACTTACTTACTTACTTACTTAGTCTTATACTAGAGAGAATGTGAACGGAGGGCGTAATGCACCTGGTTATTTTTGTTTCGTATTGCTCACTGCACTGCAAGATTTACTCATTCGCAGCAGTTTCCTCGCAACTGGATACGACTCTTCACTTACGAGTACAAGTAATTCACTTTCAGAAAGATGTACATTTCACAGGGTCATCCAGTCCAGATAACTAGCTGACTCTTCTTACAATAGCTGGCGAAAATCGTAGAAAAGGCAACCGCTAGAACCAAACATGGAGGAGTGTATAAACAGTGTATATAGAAAATAACCGAATTTCGTCGTGTTGGTTCTCACCTGGATGGCCTCTGATTCCAGTCGGTGAATACCTGGACTGGATGCTGTAGAACGGATCTTTGGGGCCAGGTTCCATTGTGCCGTCCTAATCCTGTCTGTTGACTGCTGCCCAAAAGGCAAACCCGCTGAACAGTCCTCGGGCGTCTGAAATGAATCCATGAGATAGGTAGGAACACTGAGCAATGAAGCTGAGCAGGGTCATTTGACTGCGATTCCGTTAAGTTCGCATAATCTAGCAAGACAGTGCAAAACGCTATAGAATAGAGTAAAAAATAGACCTAGTATTGTCCTTGGCATGACGTTTCTTACAAGGTCGAAGGAGACTGTTGGACAGCCACCCGTGGTTCATCAAACAGACATACTCTCTTAATTCTAGTTGTTTTCGTTTCTCAGTCGAACCTCGAATTCAGCGTATATGAAGGTAACTGCTCATTTTTGAATTGAAGTGGTGCAAACACGAGACTTATTTAGAACGGCTTCTGGATGGGACGCATTCACTTAGTCACGCCTCGCTAGAACAAACCTATCCGCTGTTACTGAAAGATTCTATATCCGTATGACTAAAAGGGAAAGTTTCACGCCATAAACCATGATTCATTTTATGAACCTGTAAAATGTCACTTTCTGAAGGGTCGCCGTGCAATCTGCGATAAATGGTCACCAATCTAGCATTGATCAGTATGTTTTGAGCTCCACTCAGAAAACTAACATGCATACCCCTATTCCTAAAACAGTTACAAAATTTCTTGGATCTATCTGTGATGAGGTTATGAACATTTCATTTAGGGTGGCATGAACTACCTTTCAAAGCTCCGGAGCGATTATAAGCTGCAGATGTAAATCTGTTTGTTAAGTTATTATGAGTCGTCTTATGGTACAAATGAACCACTCCGCTGAAGTACATTTAAAACAGGAAATTTGGGTGAATTTCGACTGAGTTGCGAGTAAGTATCTATTGTGACCAGGACGTTTTGTTAAAGGCACTATTTTTTGGAAGTTGTTTTGTGTACTCACAAGTTTGGAAAGAAGAGTGTCACCCTGATGAAAATTTTCACAGAACAGAATTCTTTTTGACAAAAACAGCAACTTAGAAAAACTTCCGACGATCCCTGCAGTCCTAGAAACTACCTTTAGTGGACCATAACAACTACACTGGTCAGTTCCGTCCTCGGATAGTTTCCCACTGTCCGGTACTAGAAATACCACGAATTTGGAAAAATTAACGTGGAATGATGCAATCGGACGGATAATTCCTTTCGTTCTGTTAATCGTCGCCACACAAAACCCACTTCCGGAATTTCAATCTTACTGCGTATGGCTTAGTCGCGTGAGGCCCTTGGGAGATAGCGGAAAACTGATGTAGCGTGTACTTGTCTGGAACTTACTGTAAAGTCGGCAACCTTTTGGCATTTGCATGCAACGCGATTCCTACTGTGCTCCTCATGTTAAGCTGTACTTTCATCAAAACTTGGAAATTCTGAACTCCTCAAACAGGCCTCTTATAATTTCGTGCTCTAATAGGTGGGTTTTAGCACCTTCACTTAAAGAAATCCTACAGAATAATGTGTGCCGTAGGACCGACCTGCGCATTGTGCGCCAATAAAGTTTTACGGATAATTTAGTGTCCATCGAAGTTCGGCATATTCAGTAGAATGCTCGACCTGCAGTAGGGTTTCTCAAGTCAGGGAGAGCAACGAAACCTTTAGTATTTGTCTGTCTGATATGTACACATTGATATCTTTCTGACTCGGCTGATTCCCTTCAGTTAACCAGCCTGCATCCACTTGAGAAGTTCAACTAAATTACTTGCATCAGGATTCGTACAGGGTTTTCCAGCTAAAAAAAGTACCGAGATCGCTGCCACAAGCAAGGCTATTCAGTACCTGCAAGGATGTACTGCGTGTTGGCGAACTTTAGAAAAGTTCGTTTGGGTTGTGATCGGCCTGGTTTATAACCAGTTGGCCATACTATTAAGTATTTCCCGACAATTTAAGCAAGCATCTCTAATAAAAAACACTCCGATACCATCCATATCGATCGGAATAGATACGGAACCATTCTTCGCACTGCGCAGTCGATTGTTGATAAACAAAGAAGAACGATTCACTCGAGTCTTGATTAAATATTCCGTGTTCACACGACTAATCCATTCAGCATCATTGGCCTTGGTGCACAGTACCGGAGCCATCTTGGGCAATATGAAAGATTTTTCCGCAGCTCGGGAAAACGGATTACCTTTGCCATGACAGCTGAACGGTCCCAACACCGAGCACTCGCAGTACGAGCACCGGACGAGGACTACTCTCCAAAATATAAAACACGGTCGTGATCACACGCAGGACTCAGAACCATCCCACCATCCGTCTGAGAGCTCACCAACCAATCCTTTTAAATGCATGCACTACGGACATTGGATGGGGAAAGTACCCAAGCAGTCTCGTCTAAAAAGAATGGCCCTGCTACATTATGTCCAAAATCCTTGTACTTTTCGCCTAACTCAGTCAATTACACCATCTGTTCACTTGGCCTGGTCATCATTCTGGAAGATGGTATGGTAGTGCGGCCATCTTATTAATAGATTGAGAACGAGTGGAACTGCTTTAACGATGTGATCCATAATTTCTCTGCTAACGGAATCGTGGCCGACGGAAGCACATTTACATCCACTGTAATCGCGTATGCTCATTTTCTCCGTTTTATCAAGTACTGTCCTGTACAGCACGCTTTCCATTGATATAGACATGCCTTCGTTGCTGTTGTGAGTACTCGTCATCGTCTGACCTAGAGAGCACGGGCTCTCTTGTTTTGTTCTTCATGGTATAATCGACATTTTCATATTCCTGATCCATGACCGACACTTGAGTTATATTCAGTAGCATTGAGATCATGCAAATCGACCGGTGGGGTTGATTTTTGGATTTTGTTCTTGGTCCCACTGACTTCCTCTATCTCATGCGAGTGTCGAAGGGTGAACATTTGCACCCAATATCGGTGGTTTGTTTGAGATGCTTGGAAACAACCGGTGAGACATGTGTAACAACAATGTGACTTCTTTCCCGTTCTTGAAGTTCTTATTCTCTCTCGAATTAATTCTTCCTTTCCTCCATGGTTTAATTCCCTGAGTTAAAATTAAAGAGTTATAGTTTGCCAAATACGGATGCAATCGCAATCGGAGATTCGCTTTCGTACTTTGAGACTTCTGCGGAACTGCCGCAATAAGTCTGTCCCAAGCATTGACCCCGACTTTGATTGTTATCCCCAGAGAGGCGCGACTATACCTAGACACGCACTGAAGTAAACATAAACATCATGAGTGTGGTGGTTGGTTTTGATTCCCGACCCATGGTGTAAAGGTGTGAACGTCAGGCATTCCGAGATATACTGTCACTCGCATGCGGCCACTTGTTTGTGCTCATTCCCGTGGCTGTTTTCTGATCGGTTCCTCGATTGACCTTTCAAAGAATCGCTCCTTGTGACAATATGCCCTATCGATCATTTTTCCTAAATCATATTTGCGATAGACCTGACTTGAACTGAGCGCAACGGTTTTTATTAGCTTCAGTATGTAACATGGGGCCTGGAAACTAAAAAGCGCGTTCTGTTGATAGCTGAAGCAAGCAAGGTTATCCCAAAACCATCTCACATGTTGGTAAAAATCAGAAGACATTTCTCATAATTTCTGTCAATATTGTGTCTGTTGGTTTGCTGGAATATTGTGGTTGCCTGCGAAGCCAAAGGCTGCCACAACAGAAGTGCCGATGGTTGCTGCAGGCAACCTGACTAAATTTTGTGGTAACACTAAAGGGTTGTACACACCTTGTGCATGGTCATATAGACATGTATGCTACACTAAGGGGTTCTCCATTAAAACCATCCATATGCAGGTTATATGCAATGTACCTAGCTTCCTCTTATGCTAATGCTCTGTCGTCGCTCCAATCAGAGAACTAGTCGTGTGGCTGTTTTTTTACATCTTTATGCACGTGAGCACCGAGGTGAGGTTTCATCCCCCAACCAATTAGTCTCTAGTCTCTCTTGGATTAGTCTACCCAAAACTTAGAGGAGCCGGAAATACCTAAAAGTGGCGAGTGCACTTGAACGCACGTGCTGGGTATATTCCTGAGTGTCATAGTAGTCATCTGGCATCAAGCATGTCATGATCGATTGTCACGAGACTATTTCAAAATGCGTGATCTTGTTAGTAGGGATTTACCAGCAATGCCTGGACAAGACTAACTAACGGAGGTGCTGAAAAAACATGATGCAAAATGGCAAGCGTTGCTGGCAAGCTCGGCAGTATTGGACTTCGAAAGGCTGGCAAAGCTGTCGGTAAGAAGACCGGCAAGCTTGTGGCGAAAAAGATAGCAAAGAAAGTGGTCAAATCAGGCATCAAGGGTGCTGTCAAGAAAGGCGCCAAAAAAGGGATTAAAAAGGGTGCAAAAAAGGCAGCAAAGAAAGGAATAAAAAAAGGTGCAAAGAAGCTTATGAAAAAAGGAACCAAAAAAGTTATGAAGAAAGCAAAAAAGGGGATAAAGAAAGCCGCAAAAGGCGGTGGAAAGGAGGAGGACAAGCCGCCTCCTATGGCAGTAGGTGAAAAAGACAAACCAAAGAAAGGGAAGGAAAAGGGAACCGATAAAAAGAAGGAAAAAGGACGGGAAAAAGACAAACACAAAGGAAAAGACAAAGGAAAAGAAAAACGAAAGGATAAGGCCAAAGATAAGGGTAAAGAAAAGACAAAGGATGAGACGAAGGGTAAAGTGAAAGATAAGGCGAAGGATAGGGGAAAGAAGAAGGGAAAAGAGAAAGTGAAGGAGAAGAAATTGTCTGCAGCCAAAAAGTTGAAAAAGAGTGCTTCAGATTCCACTGAGCAAACTTCTGGGGAAATATCTACTGAAACTGAGTCCAAGAGTCTAGAGCAATCAAAACCCAAGCAGGGGAAGGAAATGCCAACGATCGGTGGAGAGAAAAAGCCAATTTTACTACGACGGAAAGAATCTGTTACTTCTAAAATAGTTGATGAAAAAGGTTCTGAGGAATCAGAGGTGACGACAGAGAGAAGTGCTAAAAGTGACATATCTCAGGAGAAGATGAAGGGGCGGCTTGCACGTCGAAAGAGTACAGTGTCTGAAGAAACCAGTCTTCCAACAAGTGTCACAACTAGTAAACCAACTAGCAGTGCTGAAAGCTCTGAGGCAACGCAGTTAACAGCTTCATCTGAGCCATCAGATCAGACCTCGTATTCAGCCAGGGAAGGCGGTGTTAGCGCAACTCCTGCCACACAGCCTACGTCATCTTCATCAGCTCCTGCTGGTGGACGCCCGTCGAAATATCGTGAACGTGCGATTTCCCAGACAGGTTTCCAACAACCGGAAGGGTCTAGAAGCAGTAAAATCATTACTGCTAGTAAGCAAGGACGTGTATTATCAAAAGAAGACAAGTTATTGCAGAAAGCACAGAATATGCCAGGATTTGAAAACCTGCAAAAGAGTGTTCATCAAGATGTTTTAACTAAAGAAGCTGCCAACGAAGTTGATGACCCAGAATTTAATCTGATGCTCTTCCGCCTGGCTAAAAACATGATTATGGAACAACCAGCCAAAGAGGACAAAGTGACAAGGCCTCAGAAAAAACACAAAAAAAGGAAAGCATCAGAGTGGCTCGAAGCACTGGGCCTAGTAATCAAAGCTCAAAATGAAGCAGCAGTACGTCGGCACTCCTGCCAATCACGAACAACCGTTTGCTTTCATGAAACCCCATGTAAGTGCCAGTGCCTCTGTAAAAGAACTGAAAACCAAGCTGACGAGGTTCTAAAAGGTGATAAAGAAGTGGGAAGACAGAGGACACCAGCGCAAACTAGCGCTATACAGGGGGATTTAACGGAGCAGAAGGTACAGCCCGCAGAAGAAACCAGCAAGCCGACTGTAGAAAGCAGTGGCAGAACTGAGAACACATCCGCTTCGACTATTTCTAGTAGCTCAAGAGACAGTTCCGTGAGTGTGGAATCTTCAGAAACGTTCCATAAAAACACTAAAAAGTTTTGCAACCTCATTCGAGGGCTAAACAATGTTCCCAAACCTAGAGCTGTTAAAAAGAGACACACTGGGTGCAATTGCAAGACGGCGACATTCTCCACGCAAGATCGGCACAACCTACCAGCTTCCGCTCCCGCCGCTTCTATCCCACCATGTATACCGCCACCTGCTTGTTTGCCACCCACTTCTGTGCCGCCCGTCTCTCTGTCACCTGCTGCTCCGCCGTCTGCGCCTTGGCCACTCGCTTCCCTACCACCTGTCCCTCTCCCACCAAATGCTAGTACCGATTACACGCAGCAAATGGGGCCGGAATCTATGAACGTATTCCTCCTTGTTCCCGACGGTAGAGCAATCACAGCACCGGTCTGTACAACAGCACCACTTGTCAATCCAGACCCGATGTTATATTCTCATACTACTGAGCCTAGTATAATCTATTACCATGATTTCTATATTTAATTTTCAAGACAAGTGGATTTGTCATGATTTTTCACTTCACATCCTTTTGTGTTTTGCTTTCAAAAAATGCTTATGAATGGACGTTTCTTTATTGACTTGTGTGGTGACCAGAGGTGTTGTGTTTTTCAGAACTGGGGATGGTGCCACACACGCGGCTTTTAATACTTTTTACTTTTCCGAAGGACTTAACAACATTACAAACCAAGCTTTCGGTAGTAGGGTTACCAGTTTCCGTCCACCACGTACACGCGGTGACTTAACCACAAAAACAAACTGCTGAGTGGTACCCTTTAAAGGGATTTGACTTCCTTTCGTGATTCAACCTTATGCTAGGTAGTAGACGATGTCAACAGGGGGTGACGCTTCGTCATTCACTTTACAAGGCTTGTGCAGCATGATGCATTCTCCACATGCTTTGATTTCAAAGTAGGTGTTTTTGTGAAACATCCATATATAATTCTGCCCAAATGTGACCCCTCATGTTACATTAGACCACTGCATCATAACTCAGCACCCCAGTTACTGCAAAGTGAACTATCTGAACAGTTCATACTCCTCCAAATAGGAGCTGGCTTAACGGAGAACCCAGCGGAATTGTGGGACAGACTTTCACAGACTTGTCCCTGTTTGTCCGCCCGAATTCCTCATAGCATTGCAAGTACTTTGCAGAGAACTTTTCGAATTTTTGGTATACATTTTTAACTATGCCGAGAGAAGAATCTATTTAAATCTTAAGCGATGAGAATAAAGGAACCTGCTTACAACGCCAAGCGGATTACTAATCGTACCAAAGGTCCACGCAATCTGGAAACAGAGGATGTCGTGAAAAGTGGCGTGTCCGACGCAGTTTACGATAGATGGTCCAGGGCAGGCTTTGTTGTTACGAGGCGCAACCGGGAATTCTCCAGTCGGTCTTTTTATGTGCATCTTCCAGAGCGTCGTTTTACCTCAGCTCACACGGCCACCCTACCTAATGAACCCCACTGATAACTAGCGCATCAACACCCTACGTTCGCGGTAAACTCTCTCTGGAGACACTACAAGAAGGTGTTTCCCCCTGATTTCTAATACGCCACATCTACTTATGTACACAAGTCATGCAACTGATTGCTGGACGTCAGCTCTGGTAAGCATCCTTTTTAAAATCAGCCGCCTCAAAACTCATCCCCATCCTTTGTGAATCCCACCGGCCTACTTGGAACTTCTGAGAAAATACTAAAGTAGAGAATAAAGAAGAAACTTGGTTTGTGGGCAGCTTTCTGCCTCTTTGTAGTTGCTCGCATCAAATGCCCGAAGCCGTGAAATTTGTGGCGTATTCCGTTGCTTCGGAGCTGCGGGCAGTCCAGCGGTCAGACAACAGTCCCTTGACAACACAGCTCCTTTTGGAAGTCTTGATCAAGATTGCTTGACTGAGCTGATTCAGACGGTGACCTCATCCACGATGTCGCTAGTCTTGTATGAGTAGTCAATTGGGCAGAAACGATTTGCCTCTTATAGTGAAAATGACCCTTTCTTGCATATAAAAGTCTACGGAGTTTATCCCCTCCCCTTTCATGTTTTGCACCCATACGTTTATGAATACACATGAATGTGTTCAATCCATTCTTAATCAAATGCCAATACGCAGATGACATCTTAGGAGATTGCCTATATTCTATTTTTCGTATATCTTCCAAGCAACAGATGGTCTTTTCTGCTCTCACCGTGTAGACATTTTGAATCCCCCTATCCTGCATGTAAAATAGTTTGTTTATACGTTCCTATCAGTCTTCTTTCTGTCCAGTGTCATCAGTTACTACACGCCGATGCCCAAAGCAGTATCGTCATCGAACGCTATTCCCAAACCTTACTCTGTTGAATACTTAGATGCGACTTTATCTCATTAATTTTGCTGACTGAAGCATATTGAACTTTTATTCAGTGGAGCAGTGCAACTTTCTATTTATTCTATAGGAATCTGTCAAATCTGCCTCACTTCATTCTTGAGGTTATCTTCGCACATATTATTCCACATTGTTCCAAAGTCCTTAGTGACCTCGGAAGTTACGTCTTTGTTCTGATTGCTTAATACTTTAAATTTCTTCCCTTCGACGGCAGTCTACTCAAACAGGTCTTCGGTGAACCCATCGAAAAATGCTACTTTTTTCAGAAGCTTTGACTGGATGGTACACACCTATGTTCTAAGCTATTACGGTTTATTTCTGTGTCCAGAACAATTTCCAAGTTTAAACCATTTTTCGTACAGACAACCGCTTACCTTAAATTTAGCACAACTCACTCGGCGCATCTGCTTGTGAATAGTAAACTGCTGACTTCCAAAGTTTAATCTCCCTTTCTTCGGTAACTCAGCCATTGTTGAAGGAATTCCTGGAGTATTCGTATATATTTTGTTTTTTTTCCGGTTGTTTGCTTATTAAATGGTGACTTTAAATTTCTTCCCTTCGACGGCAGTCTACTCAAACAGGTCTTCGGTGAACCCATCGAAAAATGCTACTTTTTTCAGAAGCTTTGACTGGATGGTACACACCTATGTTCTAAGCTATTACGGTTTATTTCTGTGTCCAGAACAATTTCCAAGTTTAAACCATTTTTCGTACAGACAACCGCTTACCTTAAATTTAGCACAACTCACTCGGCGCATCTGCTTGTGAATAGTAAACTGCTGACTTCCAAAGTTTAATCTCCCTTTCTTCGGTAACTCAGCCATTGTTGAAGGAATTCCTGGAGTATTCGTATATATTTTGTTTTTTTTTCCGGTTATTTGCTTGTCTAAATGGTGAAAGCTGAAAACTCAATGGTGCATTAAAACTAAGCCAACTTAGTCGATTATTTCTTTTTTTCACTGCGTCATGCCAAACAACGGATGGTGAAAACCATGAAACTATGATTGATCTAAACTAGGTTATCATGTGAATCTCCCCGTTACGATGCCTTCCTGCACTATTTCCTTCCACAGAGAAAACGTATCTGCTCTACTGAAGGTGAAAACTGCATCTATTTACTCTCTCCGCAGAAGTGCTAGCTGACCCAAACTATCTAACCTCGTCGGCTAGCCCCACCGAAGAACTAGGTCAATAGAGCCTGAGTGCCTGCTTGCTCTGCCTTCGAAGGTTAACACTTGTCCACTGAGACTTGCCTGCTCACTAGCTGTGACAAATATATGGCCAATGTACTCAGCGTTCACCGACCGATTTCAGCAGCAGATTGAACACCATTTGCACGAAGAGCCAATTATTTCATATTTTGCATTCAGTAACGCGGGTGGTTGTATTTTTCTCCGAATCATATCGGTTCTGATTTTAGCAATTCGCATCGTAAACTTGAGTTAGATGGCAAAACCAGAAAGTCTTCAGTAACTTGGTTGGGAACGACCGACTTTCAGCTATAGCTAATATGCTTTGGCGTGCTTCAAAACCCGTTATTTGTGAGCTCAATGGAGAGGTCCCAAACGGCGTTCAGTGATAAAATCATTGCCAAATATTTCAAGCAGCTGTGGGAACATTTGAGTCACACTGACGGACATAGTAATGACGTGAGCTCAATGGAGAGGTCCCAAACGGCGCTCAGTGATAAAATCAGTGCCAAATATTTCAAGCCGCTGTGGAAACATTTGAGTCACACTGATAAACATAGTAATAATGAACAGACTCGTAATATTACGGGAATCGTGTAACGACGAACATTCGTTGTTCCCTTTCCGTGTGGTTTGCTTCGAGAAGCGCATGGATCACCACTTATCGTCAGTGCATGTATCACTGGAGAATCATTCGAATGCGCAGACTTTAGATTGGGTAGTAAGCGATTAAACTACCATCATCATAATTGTGCAGAGTAATACGCTTCCAAATTCAGAAGTTTTCGGTCAACGATCAGGAACTTGGGTGCATGGATTTTACACATCTTTATTCTATTCCCCCTATCCACTCGGAAGCCATCCTATTCGTAATCAACATTGCCATCATCACCATCGTCATTAGCGTCGTACTCATCAAGGTTATCATGGTCATCCTTCTTATTACCGTCAGCATTGTGATCATCAACATGCTCGTTGTCATCCTGACCATCATTGTCCTTTGATGAAGAAGCTCTTTTGAAGCGGTCTTTCGGGCACAGTGGTTCCCAGAATTTAGGTCTAGTTCTTCACACAATCTCCCGATATCTCACCATGCAAATTCTTGTGTGGTGCCTCTTGATGATGAGGGAACAAAGCGGTATCTGTGTCCAGCATGCTATGTGTTGAGTAGTTCCGAGAGAGAGAGAGTTAGTAAAACGAACTCGTTTTCAGCGCTTATTCAACTGGCTAGATGCATTACAAAGGGGTGATATGGGTAGTAAAATAGCACAACAGCGTGCGGAATACTAATTAGTCAGAAAGGATACATATTGGACAGGTGGCTTGTGTGCTTGTTTGAGTAAGTCCAAGGCACATTTCTCATGTGGGGTTGTTGAAAGTAAATCAAGGGCTTTGACAAACAGCTTGTGTTTAGAGCCCACGTTTATACAGCCTGACAGTAATAACCTCATCGACGGTAGCAACCGAAGCCTGACCACTCTAGCTTAGCAATAGGAAATGCAGTGAACCGACCGAAAGGCTTGTTTGATTTCCACCCGGCGGTCAGACTGGACTATGTGTGAGTGGCGGTGGTCAGGCCCTTCGCTAGTCTGCTGTTAAGACGAGGCTAGTAGTTTTCGCGTGCACGTTCGGCTGGACATCTAGTCGTCCTCTTAACATAATTCGCATCGCAGAAACGGATGAACCGACACAAAAGAATGCACCAGATATTGACAAACTACCTATTAACCTCCCGAACCTAACCCGGCGTAAAGCTCGGCGGTGTTATAAGTACAGCCACGGCCGTGGTTAGACGGCGACTAATTATCTGTACACTGGTATCGCCTTTGAGTGGTAGTCAAAAGTAGTGTTCGTTTATCTACTGTGCACCTCTTTTGAGATCTGAGCTTCTCTTAGAGGTTTGTTGGGGTAAATATACGAGAGCAACCTTTCTGAATGCACGGTTCAGTCAGAAACTATAGCTCATCCAGAACAGTATCTTAGATGCAGGACTTTCCCAATGTATGGGCTAGGCAACGGACAAGACTGTTTTTTAGTGAGTGGAACGGGTCTAGCGAAATCGGTGATCTGACCGTTCCATTTTGTCCTAAGGGCAACCAGATTCCCAGTGAAGTTCCACAGAATCTACTTCCGGTGTGCGCATGGAACGTACGATTGCTCTTCAACGGCGAATCATACCACTGGAAACACGGTGTGCCAGTGGACCAGTAGGCCTATTGGTCGCGGATAATTTCGTGAGCAAGTTGGAAAACACCGTGTTGCATCAATCTATGCATTAGCTCGTCAGTTAGGGTACATGCATAGACGGTGCAGCGTAGTCAAAAAGAGGACGAGGTTCTAGAAATTCCAAAGA